CGTAGGACATCGGTCCCTAATTTTTTGATATTCGAAGTCGGAAAAATAATTTGTTTACATTTTGAATTAAAATCTATTCCACGAATTTAAACTTTATTTCGTGTGTTTTAGCTTTTTAAATGGTTTTAAAAAATTACTAGACATCTAATAAAGCAATTTTGACAAACTCATTAAAAAGTGCGTGAAATTGAAATTTTTGAAAGAATAAAGGAAAAAAATTTCGTTATCTTTTACTATGGGTCGTAGATTCGAGTAGATTTGAATAGTATTTTTCTGGAACAAAACACCTACTCAAATCAAGGACCCCATATTGAAAAATATGTTTTTTTTTCTGTCGGAAGATGTGTAATACAAAATTGTAATTTCTTTGTTTATTCAAACAATTCAAATCAAAGTATGAGTTTTAAATTAAAATTGAGACTTTTTAAGATTGTCAGCTAAAATCAAAGTGAAGAAACTCAAAATCTACGATTAAACATTAAAGAATTCGAAATTTTATAAAAATATCAAAATTTTCATTCAGATTTCAAAAGATTTTCATAGAGGCAATGTCAAAATAGCCAGTTTAAAAATTGTTGATTTTACTTAAATTACTTTATTTTTCAAAATACTATTGTCATTTTCTGAAAAATAAGAGAATAAAAAGCTTGTAAAAAGGATTCTGATAAGCTCAAAAGATAGCAAAAAATCAATAATTAATGATCATTACAATTTTTGAGTTTGTCTACATTCAAAATTTGGGATTCTTTAAATTTCCATGTGATTTTAATTAAAATGCTTATGCTGTTAGAATCTTAAACGTTGCTTTTAAAGCGATAAATCCATGAAATTAGTGAAAATATTTTTTTCATCAAAATTATCTATTATAATATCTCCGAACATGTTTATATTGTTCAACAATCTAATGTCAAAGAATTGGATTTTGACATTGCCACTCTCTGGATTTTCATTATAAAATTTTATTTTTGTTTCACGAGTTGAACGGTTTTATTTTATATGCACACCGTTTTCACGTGTGAATCTATTGGTTTTGTTCAGATTGAAAAATCAGTTTTTCGCGTTTTGTGAGAAAACGAATCGAAATTGGTTATAACATGTCCTAGAAGAAAAGTTTGTGCATGAAATTTTACATCATTTGCAAAAACAGATTTCAAATTGGTTGCGGTATTGCTGAGAAATACGCAAAATACGCTTTCTGTAGGCAAGCAAAGAAGCAAACAAGCATGCGAGTTAATCATATGCTGCTCTATAGAAGAGCTGTATTATTTTTGGGCTAGGGAAGAACAGCCGTTGCTTCAGAATAAGCAAAAAACTTTCCTTTCTTACGAATTTTTTAAAACAAAAGTTCACTGTAATTTTTATATAATTAAACTTTGGATGAAAAAATTTTTTAAAAAAACTTTTAAAGAATGTTCGTTAAGCTTTAAACTTTCCAACATATGCTCAGCTGACTCGCCAGCTGGAATGCATTTCATTGATTTACGATGTCTCGGGTTCGATTCCAAGGAATATGCAGAGTTGCAAATATGCAATCATCCGTTGAAGACAAAATCTGTCTGTAAATGATAAAATTCAATCGTCCGTTGAAGACCTAAACCAAATAAATAATTTTGGATGCAACGCATCGAATTCATCATCAATAAATTATTTCAAATTACTTTGATGATGTTCAGGTACGAGATGGAACTGGAACTGCCACAAGTCTAAACTGACAGATTGGACTTTAATAGTTTCATCAGATTTAAGCTTCTGAGAAAAAGTAGACGTGTTTGATATACAACATGATAAGTTATTGAAAGGAAAAAAATATTGGTCCACAGGTGTTATTTTTCATGTGGGTTAATTCACTATCTACTAGAATTCCATAGAATAGTTTTCCAAAGACATAATTTTCCAATATTTTTTAAATTTTTAAAGTAATAAATATTTTATAAACGATTTTCATTATTTTAGATAAAATGAATTTTAAAAACAAACTAGTGTATCGGGTAGAAACCCAATGCGGCCATATTCACACTGTACCATCAAAAGTCTTATGGATAAACCAAGATTAGCTCAGCATAAGTTTAAAGATTAAGATTATTTAAGAAGCAGTTAAGTGCCTTGCTGGTCGAATAGGTAAGGCGCTTGGCTCAAATTTGGGATTGTAACTCGATGGTCGTCGGTTCGAATCCATCCATTTCCAAATTTATTCTTTTTCGGAAGTTTAGATACTTCGACTGCTTAATGTACAAGATCAAGCCATAATTGGGCATTTGGGCAACGTTGGATTAAAGAACGGGCCAGGAACTTGAAGTGTAGCGGGAGAAATAGGAACGAGAGCTACAAGATTACCCACGAATGGAATATTGTTAGAACGGACCTGAAAAGTATCACGTCACGCCTACAGAAGATCGAAACGAGAGCCTTAGTTTATTTGTAACCTAGATTTGAAGATTAGAAGTTTGATCCTACATAATATTAATTCATATGTATACAAATACAAAAGTGTAAAATTGAATTATTACCGGACAGTATGTCGTCAATAAATGCAATTAAGTGCAATTAAAATGAAAAAAAAAGATATAAAGCGAGTCAGCTGAGCTTTGCTGAGCATATGTTGGAAAGTTTAAAGCTTAACGAACATTCTTTAAAAGTTTTTTTAAAAATTTTTTTCATCCAAAGTTTAATTATATAAAGATCACAGTGAACTTTTGTTTTTAAAAAATTCGTAAGAAAGGAAAGTTTTTTGCTTTTTCTGAAGCAACGGCTGTTCCTACCTTGCCCAAAAACAATACAGCTCTTCTATAGAGCAGCACAGATCAAATGTAAAAAACTAGAAGTCTCTACGATGTCTCGTTATTGAGATTTCTTGCTGATTAACTTGCATGCTTGTTTGCTTGTTTGCTTGCTTACAGAAAGCGTATTTTGCGATTTTCTCAGCAATGCCGCAACCAATTTGAAATCTGTTTTTGCAAAATGATGTAAAATTTCATGCACAAACTTTTCTTCTAGGACATGTTATAACCAATTTCGATTCGTTTTCTCACAAAACGCGAAAAACTGATTTTTCAATCTGAACAAAACCAATAGATTCACACGTGAAAACGGTGTGCATATAAAATAAAACCGTTCAACTCGTGAAACAAAAATAAAATTTTATAATGAAAATCCAGAGAGTGGCAATGTCAAAATCCAATTCTTTGACATTAGATTGTTGAACAATATAAACATGCTCGGAGATATTATAATAGATAATTTTGATGAAAAAATTATTTTCACTAATTTCATAGATTTATCGCTTTAAAAACAACGTTTAAGATTCTAACAGCATAAGCATTTTAATTAAAATCACATGGAAATTTAAAGAATCCCAAATTTTGAATGTAGACAAACTCAAAAATTGTAATGATCATTAATTATTGATTTTTTGCTATCTTTTGAGCTTATCAGAATCCTTTTTACAAGCTTTTTATTCTCTTATTTTTCAGAAAATGACAATAGTATTTTGAAAAATAAAGTAATTTAAGTAAAATCAACAATTTTTAAACTGGCTATTTTGACATTGCCTCTATGAAAATCTTTTGAAATCTGAATGAAAATTTTGATATTTTTATAAAATTTCGAATTCTTTAATGTTTAATCGTAGATTTTGAGTTTCCTCACTTTGATTTTAGCTGACAATCTTAAAAAGTCTCAATTTTAATTTAAAACTCATACTTTGATTTGAATTGTTTGAATAAACAAAGAAATTACAATTTTGTATTACACATCTTCCGACAGAAAAAAAAACATATTTTTCAATATGGGGTCCTTGATTTGAGTAGGTGTTTTGTTCCAGAAAAATACTATTCAAATCTACTCGAATCTACGACCCATAGTAAAAGATAACGAAATTTTTTTCCTTTATTCTTTCAAAAATTTCAATTTCACGTACTTTTTAATGAGTTTGTCAAAATTGCTTTATTAGATGTCTAGTAATTTTTTAAAACCATTTAAAAAGCTAAAACACACGAAATAAAGTTTAAATTCGTGGAATAGATTTTAATTCAAAATGTAAACAAATTATTTTTCCGACTTCGAATATCAAAAAATTAGGGACCGATGTCCTACGTTGGCATATTTTTATCTAGTTTATAAGATTAATTTTTGAATACAATATTGGAAAATTGTTGAAAATTACACAATTAATTCAGTTCAAAAATTGTGAAATCTTAAATACCTTTTTGTATGAAGAACTTGTTTAAATTGATACTTATATTTTAAGAAAAAAATTCTAGTAGATAGTAAATTAACCCACATGAAAAATATAGTTTAAATTTGACAATTTTATGAAAAGCAATTAAATATGTTACAAGTTTTTTTACCTGATCAATATTTTGTTGTAATGTTTTGCACAAAAGGACAATAAGTCCACTAAGAAATATAGGTGGATTAAATATCTCACTGTGAGGTAATAAATCCACTTACGATTTCATAGTGAGATATTAAAGACGAATCCTAAAAATGTTGCGGATTTATTAACTTCAAGTGAAGACAAATATCCCACATACAAATGAAAGTGATTTTTTTACCCGCACGTGAAAATAATTATTTCACCTTAAATTTTAATTTTGTCTAAGTGGACTTATTGTCTTGCAGTGAAAATATTAAGACCACTTGAAAAATTAAAATTTTATAAGTGGCCTTATTGTCTCTCGGTGATTTTTCATTTTTCGGGTTTATTATCCTCTAGTGTTGTGGACTTATTATTTTTCGGTGCAATTGTCTAGCCCCTACGACATTTACCTTCATGAATGTTGGTCGAGTGTATCTTTCCTACGATATCTCTAACAGAACAACTTAAGAGTATGAAAATGCGCCGTTCATTAGAAACAACATTATAACTTCCTTTGTTGCTATATTCCGTTGCATTAACGTAATTACGAGCTGTAATATCAAAACGTTTAAGTGTCATGCATTACAAATGATAAGTATGGGATATATTTGAATTAAGCGAATACAATTGTCATTTTTCATTCTGTCCTGCATAATCGTTTAAAATTTAATGGAATGTCATTTATTTTATATATTAATATCATTATTATACTACATAGGTAATAAATTCACTGATATCCTTTTAATTTCCCTTAATCTATGATCTACTAGTCATAATAATAAAAAAAATGTATTGAGGTAAGTACAAAATTGCATGCACAGTATATATATTTATAAATTCTCTAATTCTTGTGGTAATGAAATTTTTTTGTCATTTGCAAACTTTTTTAATGCAACATATTTGGCTCGAATCACATCAATTTCGTCTCTAATGACCATATTGTCATCGTTCATAGACTCTATATCTCTCCATTCCTAGAAAAATGAATGAATAAAAATTTTCTAGTCTATAATTGTATAAATTACAGTAACTACTTGTGTCTTCTCTGTTTCCAATTCATCCTTCTGTTCAATTCTTTTGATTCGACATGATGCAGCATATCCACGATTTTTGAGTGTTCTTCGTCGCTGTTTCATCCGAACAATTTCATCTCGATTTAATCCTCTCAATTTTAGCGTTCTGTTTAAGTCACGAACAGATATGGAAACAAGTTCATCGTCCGAAATATCAGGGAACGGACATGGCGATAATGGTGCCTAAAATTAAATGAAGTAGAATAAGCTAAATAGTAAATCGACGTTCTCTAAGCTTATTGTTTAATTACTTGACTCCAGTGATTTGGTGGAACAAACTAATCAGATAAATGAGATAGAGACATTTTTTGAGGAAGTGAGTGATTAGGAATGAGATAAATAATGTATCCAGTGAATGTAAACAGTGCAACAAGTACTTGAAAATTTGATTATATACTTACCGCTGAACTTTTCCGTTCTCTTTTAATATCCGGATGTGGCATGTTGCTATATGAATAATCCAATGCTGCAGTCGTTATTTTATCCAACTAAAATGGAAGATATAGATGCGCATAAAGAATAAAACAAGCTTTGAAACTGCAAGTCATTCTCAATCAATTATTTTCCAATGGCATTTTTAAAAATGTCTAATTTCGATACTTTACTAATACTTTCTATCACTATTTCACTTATTTCGTATAGATCTTACCTTTACGAATTATTTGGAACCACTTTTGAAGTTAATTAATGGCTTCAAACCACTTTAATTATTTTTTTTTTGTAATATTTAAGGGATTTGTCTTCAAAACAACTTATTCACAAATGATGTCACGACGTTTTAAGTTGATAACCCTCTTAATACTGAATTTGAATTCTTTTCGATCGTTATATCCGAAAACAGAAGCAACAGAAGGCTTGAAATTAAAGTTGAGGGCTCAAAAATGAACGAAATACTCGCTGTGTAAAGATCACGCTAGTTAAATTAAATCTGTTCAATAGCAATGAAACAGTTTGTAAATAAAAATCATTACATCCAAAAATAAGTAGTGACATAAATGCAGGAATTTCCAAAAACCCTTGAGACAAATCAAGTCATTTTTTAAAAGAAAATACAAACTTGAGTGTAAAGAATATTAAATCTAGCCAAAATTTTAATAAATAAGTAACAATAATGCCGAGCCATGAATTAATTTCAAAGTTAGAGGACGTGGCTGATCAGGTGAGATTAAAATCTATTTGAATTCTATAGGGTCTATATGGAAATTCCCAAACATTACCGTCGATCTCCACATCATCAAAAAAATTTCACTTTCTAAATACATAATAAATTGCATCTATTTTGACAGATCCAAAGAAGAGGTAAAAGAATTCTTCCAACAATAGCACGTTTGTGCTTAATTGCTACATTTTTAGAAGATGGCATTAGAATGTGGGTCCAGTAAGTATTTCCATCATTTATGCTTTATTCTGTGCATATATGCTTATCAAAATGTATACGTACTTAATGAGAGATTGAAACATATCTGACAAAATTGAGTTTGAGCTTATGATAAGCATGTAGAGTCACAAATTTATTTTCCTTGACTTTTAGTCTAAGATACGAATTCTTAAACGAATGGAACTAATGTTTAATTAATTTTAAGATGGTACGAGCAGAGGGACTACATGAACATGAGTTGGGGATGTGGAACCTTTTTCGCAACAGTATTTGTTTTTATCAACTTAGTTGGGCAACTTGGTGGTGTTGTTATGGTTATTGGACGTTTACGTGTGCCAATCGCTTGTGGAATGTTATTTTTCATTGTAATACTTCAGGTAAGGTCATATAATTTACATTCAACAAGTGATAATGTCAATATTTATAATTTAGACCATTGCCTACTCAATTCTATGGGATCTACAATTCTTGCTCAGAAACTTGGCTCTAATTGGAGCTTTATTGTTGGTTCTAGCGGAATCGAGAAATGAAGCTCGTTCATTATTTGCCGGCGTTCCAAGTCTCGGAGATAATAAGCCAAAGTCATTTATGCAACTTGCTGGACGAATCTTACTTGCTTTCATGTTCATCACATTAATCAGGTTCGAACTTAGTTTCATGCAAATCGTTCAAGATATTGTTGGATCTATCTTGATGGTTCTTGTTGTTGGTATGTACTTCAATACTTAATTATAAACTTGATACTATAGGGATGTTCTTTTATAAATTTCAGTTGGCTACAAGACAAAGTTATCGGCATTAATCTTAGTCGCTCTCTTAACAGTTCTCAATCTGTACCATAACTGCTGGTGGACAATTCCATCATACAAGCCATTGAGAGACTTCCTCAAATACGACTTCTTCCAAACACTCTCCGTCATCGGTGGTCTTCTAATGATTGTCAATTTGGGACCTGGTGGCGTGTCAATGGATGAACATAAGAAGAAATAATTTAATTGTGACGAATATCAACAGACAAAATTCAAAATGCTCCTTTATCGATTATGTTATGTTACTTCTTTGATTTCTTTCAACCACCATTAATCTTCTCTTTTAATTTAAGCACGATGGTGCTACATTTTATAATTTTTATTTTGTTTGGGTTCTTGTATTCTCAACTTAAGCTTCTATTTTTATTCGTTTTTAAGTTTTTAAAAAATTTTCACATGATTCTTGACGGGAATTTAAAAAAAAAAATGATCAGATGTCAAGACATTCAAAACTAAGGTAGCTTAAGATTTCTTTTTGGTGTCATTTTTTATTGCTTTTTGTTGTGGATAACATTTGGTTGTTTGCATGTGATATTCACTGAATGTTAGAAATTGCTCAAACTCTGTTCTGTCAGCAGTTATCAATCAAATGATCTGCATTCTCAGGACTTAAATCATTAGAAACATATTGTGACTTGCTTAAAAGCTAATTTGTTTATTAAAAATTAAGTCAACTTTTGCAAACATATGTGCAAACTTATGTAATAAGCAAGAATTTTGATGCCATCAAGAAGACTTCAACTTCCTCAACAAAAAAAAAAACTAAGCACCAACTTTTTGATTTCTTATTGTTATGGGATTAAAAGAACTTTAATATTTTTTGTTAGATATATTTTCAATATTTTTTTAATGATGATCAAAACGAATGACAGGAGTTGTAAAGTGATTAAACCGTGCAGTTAAAGACATAAAAATTAAAAATTATTTTTGCACAAAATGAAATCTTTTCAGTAGTTTGTAAATAAAAATAATAAAATATTCCTTGAATTAAACAAACAATAAACTTACATGTAACAAGAACTTTTTTATAATCAACAGAACATAGGTACAACTGTCTACATTAATCCTCAATATTACAAATTCTTTGTGTAATTTTTTTCCAATAGAAATTCTAAGTAAGATATGTGAGAATAGATTCTTAAAAATGGAATGAATTAGTAAGGATTAAAATATAATAACTAGAAATTCCACTTAAAAATGAAAGAAATTTATTTAATAAAAAATTTCAATTATATTTTTTTATGATTTTTTTTTATTACCCTATTTTTAAGTTACTAGCCAGTGGCTTATAGGATGAAAAACGTTTTCAAAATCATGAAAAAAGGCTTAATAACGGATAGTGGCTTGTTAAAAAAATGTCAACAAACAAGAAAGATTAATAATATCTATTGAAATCCTAAAATTTTCAAGTCCTATCTATTTTGAAAACATTTAAGCTATTGATTCCTTTCACTTACGGGCCGTTCACTTACGACGTCCAGGGGTGGAAGGGGGGGGGGGGAGGGGAGGGGGGGGGGGGGGGGGTTCAGCAAGAAAAGAACAATAAAAATTCCTGGAATTCTATTGTTCTGATTTAAAAAATGACCGTTAATTTCGGACGTCATAAGTGAACGACCCCATAGTTTAATTAATGGAAAATTGGTAGTGGCTTAATAACGGAAAAGAAATCAGAAACACTTATCAGGAATAAGTGATTTGCTTTTAATTATCTTTTTTTTTTCATCCTGATGAATCCTGATGAGAAATTTGTCGAATCATGTCCGTCTCTAAGAATTTGTTATTCCTAGCCTTCTCATCTTCACGTGATCTAAAACAGCCACAAAATCTCCGTCCACAAGTGATAACCCAAAATATATTTATATTTATATAGAAAGTGTATTCGACAATAGATCACTAAAAATTATGTTGATTATAACATCCAGTTATAGAAGAATTCCAGGTTTGTATCGAAAAAGATTAAATCTAAAATTAAGACTTTATATTTTCATGTTTTATGACTTCAAACTGGTCATAAAAATCATTTCCTGTGCATCTTGTTACTTGTTGGTCCTCCAAGCAAATTTGGTTTCTGAGGACAGTTTCCTCCTTAAATAATTCGAAACCGAAAAAATCTAACTTCAAAATTTTAAATTTCAAAAGAAAATTCAAATTTCACAAACACAAATTCCAAAAATTGAAACTCGAAAATTTCGAGTTCCAAATACTAAAACACAAAAAATTTGAGTTCAAAATTTGAAATACGAAAAACTCGGTTTTTAAGAATTGAAATTCAAAAAATTCGAATTCCAAAAACTGAAAAGCGAGAAATTCGAATTCCAAAAATTAAAACACGAAAATTTCGAGTTCAAAATATTAAAACACGAAAAATTCGGATTCAAAAAAGTTGAAACTCTGAAACTCCAAAATTTCCAATTCAAATCACAACTTCTGTTTGTCAGCCTCTTTTCTACCGAAATAGAAAAGATCACAGGACTCACCTCGCGAAGGTCAACAGAACGAGTCCCTGGTTAATGATCAATTTTTGGTCGAATTCCTCAGTGATACGCTCCTTCTTAAATCAAACAACTTTCGTTAGACGACTTAGTTGCAACTTACAGGATAGCATAGTTTTACCAACTATGACAAAAACTGTAAGTTAAACACATCACCGGGTTACATTAAATGCCGTGATGCATCTATCATTAAGGGTGTGCGACCCATCTGGAAGCGCCTCTATAAAGATCAATACCGCATTGAGTCAACGAATTTCAGTACCACTGGCCTTTACGTCCCCTCCAAACCAACAAGAACAAGCTGTAACACCGTAAGGCATGGCTTGGAGTCATGAATAGAGAGCTCACGTTCAGGATTTATTGGGCAAAGATCTTGTTATGACTCTCAACGGCCCGGAAGTATTTGTTGTGAAAGAATTGGAAAAATTCACGAAATACAAAGTAAAGTAAGAGCTGAAAAAGAAATGGATTAATAAACAGGATAATACGGACGGACGAATTGACAGTAATGTTTTTTTTGGACAGCCCACCCTCAACCCCCTCTTGTAATTCCTAAAAAGTTCAAAGCCCTTTTTATAGAGGATAAGCCTCGTTCGATAAAAATTATATAAAAAACTCGAACGCGCCATTGTAGTTCATTCATGTCCATATTATTAAAAAGAAAAATCCCCTTACGTTAACAAAATTACCAATCACCCCTACCCCTCACCCAATCACCCAAACCCTTTCCTTGGCGTCAATGGGGCGCAACTCCCATATAGATTTGATTATGCTCTTCTCGCCTACCCAACCCCTACCCCCTCACCCAATCACCCAAACCCTTCCCTTGGCGTCAATGGGGCGCAACTCCCATATAGATTTGATAATGCTCTTCTCGCCTCCCCAACCCCTACCCCCTCACACTCCCAAACGCCTACCCCCTCACACCCCCAAACGCCTACCCTCTCACCCAATCACCCAAACCCTTCCCTTGGCGTCAATGGGGCGCAACTCCCATATAGATTTGATAATGCTCTTCTCGCCTCCCCAACCCCTACCCCCTCACACTCCCAAACGCCTACCCCCTCACACCCCCAAACGCCTACCCTCTCACCCAATCACCCAAACCCTTCCCTTGGCGTCAATGGGGCGCAACTCCCATATAGATTTGATAATGCTCTTCTCGCCTACCCAACCCCTACCCCCTAACCCCTACTCTACTTTCACTCACGTTTTAACGTTGAAGTTCTTCGGCTTCGTGCTCCTCAGGTTTGCTCACACAACAGAACATTCGTTTAAGAGTCTTCCAAAAACTCCTGCGCTTTTTTTTGGGCTTCTCTTCCAGATTGGATCGGCTCGATGGTCCATCATCAGCTGATGGCACAGAAAACGTCATGTCCGATGCAATCGTAATAGCATCGCAATCCTGAAATAATAATAAAGATTTATTAATATTAATAGTCAGAACTCCAGCTAGTTGAATTTGAATTCACTAGAGTCATGTAATGAATTTGTTACTTACAGCGAAATGGGAACTGATTTGTGATGAAACAAATTCTTGGAGTGCCGATGCTAGTACGGGATGGTGAAACAAGCAGATCCCGACTTCTCTCATGAGCATGATGTCATGGAAGTGATTGATCCACACAATCAACAACTCCTCTAGACCCTCCAAGACTTCCAAAGACGCTCCCTTGAACCATTGCATCAAGCACAAAATAAGAGGAACCAGCTCTTCTTGCTCTTGCTGAAGTATCTCGATTTCTTGCGAAACAGCATACTTCATGAGCAAAAGCTTCAGCTCTTGATGCTTACTCAAAATGTTGGACGTCAAAATTTGCATTCGTCTATTCTCCACATCGTACAGTCGAACAAACTTCCTCATTTGCCTCTTTACTGTTGAACCTGCATGAGATGCATAATCCAACAGCTCAAGAGGCAAATCTCTTGAAGGTTCTTCAACCGCACAATGAAAATCCTTGGAGAGGAATCGTCCGACGAACAGCAACTCGTAAGCCAATGGCTGGTAGTCGCTATAAAATTTCTGGTCCAACAAATTTTGATAGCCTTCATCCAACTCTTGATCCAATCCATCTTGCCATCCACCTTTCAATTCATCTTGCCATCCACCTTCCAATTCCTCAGGAATTGGAGCAGAAATGATTGGCGAAGAGTGTCTATCCAGGAGATGTGGATCCTCGAGCTCATAATCTGGAATGAGAGCTGGCATACTGTTGATGAACTGGTTCATTTCCTGGAAAAAAAAATTTGTTAAATTTTTCAAAATTTAAAGGTAAGGATTTAAATCATGATCAAAATGATTTGAAAAATGATTTTTCATTTAAATCATTTTACACAAGTGATTTATTTTTGATTTATGATTTAAATCATTTTGTATGAAAGATTTATTTGTGATTTATGATTTAAATCACATTGTATGGGTATTTTTTTTGGGATTTTAAATCACTTGAAGGTGAAAATTTGTTTGGGAATTTTCAGAAGATTATTAGAAAACATTAAACATTAATCATGGATATCCTTTCTGGCTTTTGGATATTGTAGTATGCAGATGTTGGTATAGCTCTAAATGATAAAGCATGAATGGATCTAGCATCATATGAGGAACTAGTCAGTTCCAGTCCCTTTAAAGCATTTTTTGATAAGTTTTCATTGTCAAAGAGGTATACGTTTGTATTTCTTAGACAGAGATATGATTAGACACTGGAACTGCTCAGTTCCTTTACATCCCAAAAAAAAGTTTTTTGTTTCTTTTTAATCGTGATTCACATCCTGAAACAAAAAATTTTTTTTGAGGAACCGACCGGTTCCTTTAGTGCCTGAAGACTAAAAATGTCAAATATTAAGTCATTAAAGAATTAAGCACTTTTTTGAGCATTTTCAGTCTTCAGGCACTAAAGGAACCGGTCGGTTCCTCAAAAAAATTTTTTTGTTTCAGGATGTGAATCACGATTAAAAAGAAACAAAAAACTTTTTTTTGGGATGTAAAGGAACTGAGCAGTTCCAGTGTCTAATCATACCTCTGGCTAAGAAATAAAAACGTTTACCTCTTTGACAATGAAAACTTATCAAAAAATGCTTTAAAGGGACTGGAATTGACTAGTTCCTCATATGATGCTAGATCCATTCATGCTTTATCATTTAGAGCTATACCAACATCTGCATACTACAATATCCAAAAGCCAGAAAGGATATCCATGATTAATGATTAATGTTTTTAATTAATCTTCTGAAAGTTCCCAAACAAATTTTCACCTTCAAGTGATTTAAAATCCCAAAAAGAATCCCCATACAATGTGATTTAAATCATATAAAATTAATGCTTACCTCTTCCTCAACTTGAGGCTCCACATTTTCGCTATCGATGATTGAACCTCTGCTCCCATTTCGCTGTTCTTCTTCCTCCAAAATTTGATTCATCCTTTGAATCAACTCCTTGATGTCCTCCGTTGTCAACTCGAATGATCTTGTTGCTTCCATTGTATAAACAAAACTGAAAAAAATTCAGAATTGTTCAAATTTCAAAGGTTGCTAGGATTTTTTTTTCTCATTCAATCTTTGAAGAATTCAAAGAAAAATAATATTTTTGGACATTAAACCGAATTTTAAGCTGTTAAATCTGCTGCATCAACATATCCAATGCAAAAAGGATTCATTTAAATTTGTTACGTGATATGGAAACGAACCAAATGATAAAATCAAGAAAATTTAATTATTTATGCAGGAAGAAGTCAACCACATACAATTTAAGCAGAAGATAGAAGCCGAAAGAAGAACTAAGCAAGACGAAAGGAAATGGTAATAAGTTTTAATCATTAAATTTTCATGAAAACACAGGAAAGATACAATTGCGATGATCAGATTTTATTCATCGAGCAGCAGATCAAGTTAGAGATTTTCCAAAAAGAAAATTAAGAAGACAAAGTCCAGTATATCATGCAGTGGAAAACGAAGATACAGAAGAGCAAGTTGCTGATTTTGTCAACAGGCATTTGATGATTCATGGTGAAAATACATCTAAAATCTTAAAAATGCAAAGAGTTGTTATGCGTGATCGTCGACATACGGAAGTAACTCAACTAAGAATGGTGCAAACACAAGGTTGATCTACACTCTTTAAATTTGATTTTTTTAGGTGAGTAAGACTTTTTTAAATATTGTTCCCAACTTTATTTTGAAACTTGCATGCCAAGTCTGGTCATGTACAATCTCGCACTTGACGTCATTCAGTAGAATGCAGTATTGTTGAAGCTGAAATAGCATCTACATCATTGAATGACTTGCTCAATTCTTTTGAAGATTTAGTATGTGATGTTGAGATCTAGTTTTAAAATCATCATTCGCACATATTGTTAGGGTATGGATTATGATAAAGCAATTGAATGGCTTAAAACTAACAATGTAAAATAAGACATTCGAGAAGCATCCGAGAGAGAAAAAAAAAGTAGAAAATTTATTGAACCAAATATGTTGTGAAGATTTGCTACTGGAATCAATGCTTTTCGAAAGAGATTATTGGTAGATCTATGCGTGTTGATGATACATAACGATAATTGACTGCATTTAAAAAGTAAGGGATTGATGCTAAACCTTATTACTGGTAATATATTGATATCCAATTTTTTTTAAATCTATTATGAACTTAACAATTTAATTTTAGGCATGCTGATAAAAGAGTTTAGGAACAATGCCACATGGTGGTCTATGGATTAGGTTTTGCACGATTCTTGTGTAGTTATACGTGAATATAAAAAAAATAAATTTGGGAATCAACTTGCTTTTTGCGATTCAGCTTATCTATATATACTAATAAAACCTGACTGAATTTCAACATTCCTTGCATAAATTTTCCAGCTTACCATCTTCAAAAACTTAAAGGAACCAAGAAAAATCTGTTGCTCTTCGGGAATTTCTGGAATTAACAAACTTCGATTGGATGTTGCCTATTGATTAGCAATTTAAAACCCAAGACAGAAACTTAAGCTGAAGTTTGATCTATGCAAAAGACTTTCTGTTTAATTTTTGTTTTAAACGAAAAATCTCTTCTTTATTGTGTACAGCAATCTATCAAAAGAGACGTGGAATTTGGTTGGTTTTCTACGTAAGTTGTGTTTTCTGTATTTGCTCGTGAACCATAAAAGCAAGCAGAGTGTGAAGCATCAATTATGCGCTTGAGGCTGTTTCTAATTACTTCTTACTTATATGATGTTCGAAAAATCAAATTTAAATTGAACGGTTCGATCAGGCTTCATTCAGTCATTACAAAAAGTTATTAATTATACTTTGAATAGATATTTTTTCATTTATTATATTATAAAATTTAGCAAATAGGCATGTCTATGGTAAAAAATTATATTCTGAAAAAAATTCTTAAAAATATTTTGATTTTTACATCATATTTTATAGCGACAGGCTCTAACTAAGCAGTGCATTATTAAATTCAGCCACTTTATCTGATATATACTTTTGTCTGTATGAGATTTCTTCATCAAAGTGCTGCTTCAACGTTTGAAGATTCGGCATAGTCTTACAGTCTGGAACATTAAGTAAAGTATTGAAGAATATATCCCAAATATCTTTCTGGAAGTATCTTGGGAATCTTGTCTTAATTTGCCAATTGCTTGACTTCTTTTCAACTTCCATATACTTTCCAAATAGAATCACATGAGCTGTCCCACAAATACCAAAAAGATCTGTCTGATATGTCCATGGCCGATTCTCAAGCATCTCACAGCATGTAAAATTGTCTGTTTTCACGACATAAGTGAACTCATCATCTTTATCGAAGCTATCCATGTCAATTGCAGATCCAAAATCTATTAGCTGCAGTGATGGAACTTTCATTCCAATAGCATTCTAAAGAAAATTGAGTAAAATAACAAGAATTAAAAGATTAATAATTAAACTAGACATTTTACGTACTTGGACATCAAAACAAAATTGTCAGGCTTAATATCAGCATGAATGATGTGACATGAATGGAGATAATCAATAATAGACAAGAGCTGTGATGTAAAATTCATTCCAATATATTCATCAACGTTTTTACTCGTGCCTTGCTTAATTTTATTGCAAACATCAATGAGTGATCCATGTGGAGAATATTCCGAGATTAAGACACTAGCATTATTGGCAACAATAGCTTTGCAGACATGCATATACGCTGGAATCAAGTGATTAATGTTCTTTGAACTTAATCGAGAGACTAGTTCGATTAAAATATAATATTCCCACAGATTTGGTGATTTTTCTTGCTTTGCTGCATACGATTCATTGTTCTTCATGTTGCGCACTTCAAAAACTGAACCAAATCCACCTTTTCCAAGAATTTTAGCCACTTTATACATGTCATTTCCACACTGTAAAGTCCCTCCGGTTTTTAATTGAGGAACATTCTTTAATAAAGAACAGGAATCAATGTTATCTTCAAGATATTGTTCGAAATTGCATTGTTCAAGAATCAATGTGCGAACATCTTTAGAAAATGGATTTCCTTTGCTCTTCACAATTGCATCTCTTAATTTAAATGACAACGATTCATCAAAATTCTGAATGATTGTGTATTCATAACGATTTGGACCGTCGCCTATGAAGCTGCACATTTTTTCATCTTCCCAAGTTTCTACATCTTCAAACTCGACAATTGTCTGGTCTTTTTTTGGATTATGGTAAATACTTTTACTTAAATCATCATCTTCTTCATCATCCTGGAAAATCTCAAATTCATTTTTCTTTTCTTGTTGTTTACTGGTTTGGGGCTGATCGACTGTTTTCTGTATTGGTGGAGGCACAATCGGCATTTTGAAGACATCTTCTTGCTAATAAAAAATTAGATTTATTCAAATTGTCAACTCCTGAAGATGTTAAGACGTTCCTTTTTCTCAGCAGCTTGTGATTTATTCTTTTCCAAACGATCAAATTCGTCTTCATTCATTTCAATACTCAAATCTAAGAATTTATTGAGTTCTGGTTTCTTTGTGACAGGAACAACCTTTGTGACATCTCCAATAACGGTCGAATTAATGCCGAATTTAAGTGGCAAATTGAATTTCTCAGTATTAAGATCAGCTTCAAAAATATTCATTGTTGGAAAAGGACTCTTGAATAGCTTATTAATTTGCAAGTCATTGAAAGTGGCTTCAAGTGACAATTTCGATTTAGCATCTGAGAATTTAAGTAAGTCGCTAATTTCATTTCTTGGCAGGTCACTAATCTCATTTTTCGGTAAGTCACTGATTTTATTTCTCGGTTGATTCCCAATGACTTGTGCTAGCTTATAGTTTAATTGTGGCAAACTTTTGCACAAATCAAGGAACTCGTCTGAATTGGTTCGTTTGAATTGTGGAACTATTAAATTTTCCTTTCGTGACATATTGGCAGTTGATTGATTTAAAGGCTGAACTATTGATGGTTTGTGTGCAACTTGTGGCACCTCACATATAGAATCTTCATACACAGAAAACGGTATCTTATTAGTTGCCGTTGATCGCGCTGAAGCATCTTGAATGCCTGATATGGAAATTAGCCGTCCTTGCTTATTTGAAACTTCTTGAGTTGTCAGAATTTCTTCATGCTCTGGTGACATATCTTGTATACTGGGAATTCTTCGTGTTCATTTTCATTAATTGACAAATTTTGAATTTGTGGAGATTTTAAATCATCTGTTAATTCCTGTGTCTCTGGGATCTCAAAATGTTCAGTGTCCTTAACAGTAATGTCAATTAATTCAGGAATTTCATAGACACTTCACGTCTTGAAGTTTGTTCCTTAATAGATTTTTCATTTGTAAGATCAAATGATGCTGCAGCATCCCAAACAAGTCTTATTCTCTTCCCTTTTTGTTCTGAAATAAAGATAGGTAGATAGAATGTTTTCGGGGGAGGGTTAATCATATCTAGAGATGTCAATTTTCTAGCATATCCTTTTTGTATAAGGTTCTCGACTTGTTCAGTTATTTAGTTGAGTTTATTCAGCCTTTTCGCATGTTTTATGAGAATTTTAAGTCAACGTTCAGCTTTTCTTAGCGAATTTTCTGTAGGTAATTGTGGATTATGGATCCGCCATAGAAACGGTACCTGAAACTTTTGTTTCTCTTTATTATTATTTTTATTATGGTCCATCAGCATATAGCTATTTAAAGACCTGCACTATTCCAAAAATACAATTATCGAAATTATCTATATTTTTTTTATGTGTCATCTCTTGGGTAGATGTTAAACCTCCGTTGCATTTTAATCAAAACATCCTCTTCTTGCTCTTTCATCTGTTCATCTTTTTCTTCCTCTTCTGACTCATCGTCAGATTCTTGATCCTCCGTTGTAGCAATGTCATATTTGAGAAATAGTTTGAATCGATCTCCATTTGTGTTTGGGGTTTCTGCAAGTTCGTCCACGAATTATCTTATCTTTCCGGTGACAATACAATATTCAAGCATTTCGGAAACTTAAAACTGCTTAATTATAGTACTATTAACCCTAACAGACAAAGAGCATGCTCTTGATTAAGAGTACGGTTGAGAATACGCTTATTTAACATCCTCTCAAGATCCCAGTAAAGAGCATGTTTAGTAGCGGACTCAATCATCCTCTAATTATAAATAACTTGCATGCAAGTTTTTACTTCATAATCTTTTATGTACTCTCAAGAACATGATCAGAAGAGGATATAAAAAGCATGATCACTTACATCCTCATGAGATTATGTTAAAAATTTTCTTGCCATATACTTCACAAGCACTAGCAGAAATCACTATTATAAGTAATAGTTTTGGACTTTCTATAGTTTAAATATGTCTTTTAGCTAATTAAAAGTTATTTAATTTCAGAAGGCATTAGACAAGATGAACAGTTATCAGGACAAACTACAACACAGTGTACTCGGGTTCGAATCACGGCAATAACCAAAAACGAATAAAAATATCAAATTCCCAAAAACATGATCAAGAGCATAATCACAAGCTCATAAATTTTTTAAATAGTAAAATCAAAACATGATCAGCAGAACATGTTCTTGATCATGTTCTCAAGTTTAACTTGCATGAAAAATTTGCTAGTAGAAAAGCGTACTCTTGAGAGCGTGATTTCTGTGGTACCCTGCTGCGATCTCCATTTGTATGGGAGAGTACGCTAATTTAGCGTCATCAAATTAAAATAATGATTTTTAAAAATCATGCTCAGATCGTGCTCTTTGTCTGTTAGGGTAAATTGAATTTTTTGTTCTTTAGGGCTTAGCTTATTTTTACATAACACATTAACAACTTTCAATAATTTTAAATTTCAAAAAGCCGTTATGAGTTTGAATCACACAAAATACGTTACACGACTTTCAATGGTTAAATTCTAGTTTACAAACTAATGCTGATCGATGGATACTTTAAATAATTTTTTAAAACCAAAAAGAAGAAAATAAATACTTTATAAAAAAAACTTTTTAAAAAACCATGTTTTTAAAAAACCATGACTAAAAAGTAGAAAATAACTTTTATATTGGGTTCAAAGGATATTGGTTTGAAAATTTGAGATTGATTTTGAAATTTGTTCACTTCTACCATATCGTATAGTTCTACATCTTAAAACGTAGGCGCATTTAAATGAAATTTAAGCTCTCCAAATATACAATATTAATAAATGCGCCAACGTTTTAAGATGTAGAACTAAGGTGCGCGCAGTTCGTTTAGACGCACTTAATTTTTTTCAAATTTTCCTTTAATAAACACTATTAAGACAAAAACTATTTTATGTGTTTATAGCTATGACCAATTAGGTTATAAATATAATAAAAGTATCTGACTAAATGCTTTGCTTAAGTAATTAAAATAATTTTTTCAAAAATTACAACAACAAAGTGCGCAGTTCGTTTAGACGCACTTTGAAAAATCTAAAATTTTGTCTTATTTACGTTTCGTAGAAAACTTAATCGTTTCTAATATTAATCTATCAACAAAAACGAGTAATTACTGAGGGTTTTAGAATTTTCCATCAAGTTTTTCCAGAGATTTTCCTTCATTAAAGTTTTCATGTTGCAAAAATTTTGATAAATTATTTATCCAATAATTTTGCGTTAAATTATTATTCTTTTAACTGATTTCCATAGATAATTGTCCATAATATTAGAAAATTAACAGATATTTAAGCTTTCTTCTAAGTATAAGGCGAAAATATGTGAAAAATATAATTATGGTGAAAAATTTCCACCACTCTCATAGATTAATCAACAAATTTTGACAAAACTGTAGATACCATAATAAATTTGAATAGACCAGCTTATTTATCGTATTAAACTTAGTTAAAAACAGAAAAATGCACAGCTCTATGGCTAATGGAACTTGAAAATTTTACTGAAAAATTAAGTTGTGGTGAAAAAATTCACCATAGAAAAATAAAATTTTAAAAAACATTGTTTTAGGCAATTGTTTCATTTAAATTAAGTTAAAAAAGTATTTCTGTCTCAAAATTAATCAATTAAAAACATGAATTAAAACCTTAGACATAGTTTTTTTAAAATTTTATTTTTCTATGGTGAATTTTTTCACCACAACTTAATTTTTCAGTAAAATTTTCAAGTTCCATTAGCCATAGAGCTGTGCATTTTTCTGTTTTTAACTAAGTTTAATACGATAAATAAGCTGGTCTATTCAAATTTATTATGGTATCTACAGTTTTGTCAAAATTTGTTGATTAATCTATGAGAGTGGTGGAAATTTTTCACCATAATTATATTTTTCACATATTTTCGCCTTATACTTAGAAGAAAGCTTAAATATCTGTTAATTTTCTAATATTATGGACAATTATCTATGGAAATCAGTTAAAAGAATAATAATTTAACGCAAAATTATTGGATAAATAATTTATCAAAATTTTTGCAACATGAAAACTTTAATGAAGGAAAATCTCTGGAAAAACTTGATGGAAAATTCTAAAACCCTCAGTAATTACTCGTTTTTGTTGATAGATTAATATTAGAAACGATTAAGTTTTCTACGAAACGTAAATAAGACAAAATTTTAGATTTTTCAAAGTGCGTCTAAACGAACTGCGCACTTTGTTGTTGTAATTTTTGAAAAAATTATTTTAATTACTTAAGCAAAGCATTTAGTCAGATACTTTTATTATATTTATAACCTAATTGGTCATAGCTATAAACACATAAAATAGTTTTTGTCTTAATAGTGTTTATTAAAGGAAAATTTGAAAAAAATTAAGTGCGTCTAAACGAACTGCGCGCACCTTATATCAACATTTTCGACTACAAATCTGCTAGAACTTCACAGAAATTGCTCAAACTGACAAAGCAATTCGTGCGAATGTTCTTAAATCAATAAAACATGACAAAAAAATTGTTTAACATTATTTCAAAGAAACAGTAAATTAATGATGCAATTAAGTGCAAAAGTAGCTACTTTTTAACATTTTCAACTACAAATCTGCTAGAACTTCACAGAAATTGCTCAAACTGACAAAGCAATTTGTGCAAATGATCTTAAATCAATAAAACATGACAAAAAATTTGTTTAACATGATTTCAAAGATACAGTGAATTTATGATGCAATTAAGTGCAAAAGTAGCTACTTTTTAACATTTTCGACTACAAATCTGCTAGAACTTCACAGAAATTGCTCAAACTGACAAAGCAATTTGTGCAAATGTTCTTAAATCAATAAAACATGACAAAATTTTGTTTAACATGATTTCAAAGATACAGTGAATTTATGATGCAATTAAGTGCAAAAGTAGCTACTTTTTAACATTTTCGACTACAAATCTGCCAGAACTTCACAGAAATTGCTCAAACTGACAAATTAATTTGTGAAAATGATCTTAAATCAGTAAAAAATGACAAAAAATTTTATATAACATTATTGCATGATGCAGTGAATTTATGATGCAAAGTAGCTACTTTTTGACATTTTTGACTACAAATCTGCTAGAACTTCACAGAAATTGCTCAAACTGACAAAGCAATTTGTGCAAATGATCTTAAATCAATAAAACATGACTAAAAATTTGTTTAACATTATTTCAAAGAAACAGTAAATTAATGATACAATTAAGTACAAAAGTAGCTCCTTTTTAACATTTTCGACTACAAACCTGCCAGAACTTCACAGAAATTGCTCAAACTGACAAAGCAATTTGTGCAAATGATCTTAAATCAATAAAACATGACAAAAAATTTGTTTAACATGATTTCAAAGAAACAGTAAATTAATGATGCAATTAAGTGCAAAAATAGCTACTTTTTAACATTTTCGACTACAAATCTGCCAGAACTTCACAGAAATTGCTCAAACTGACAAAGCAATTTGTGCGAATGTTCTTAAATCAATAAAACATTACAAAAATTTTTTATATAACATTATTGCATGATGCAGTGAATTTATGGTGCAACCTAGTGCAAAAGTAGCTACTATTTAACATTTTCGACTACAAATCTGCCAGAACTTTACAGAAATTGCTCAAACTGACAAAACAATTTGTGCAAATGATCTTAAATCAATAAAACATGACAAAAAATTTGTTTAACATGATTTCAAAGAAACAGTAAATTAATGATGCAATTAAGTACAAAAGTAGCTCCTTTTTAACATTTTCGACTACAAACCTGCCAGAACTTCACAGAAATTGCTCAAACTGACAAAGCAATTTGTGCAAATGATCTTAAATCAATAAAACATGACAAAAAATTTGTTTAACATGATTTCAAAGAAACAGTAAATTAATGATGCAATTAAGTGCAAAAGTAGCTACTTTTTAACATTTTCGACTACAAATCTGCCAGAACTTCACAGAAATTGCTCAAACTGACAAAGCAATTTGTGCAAATGATCTTAAATCAATAAAACATGACAAAAAATTTGTTTAACATGATTTCAAAGAAACAGTAAATTAATGATGCAATTAAGTGCAAAAGTAGCTCCTTTTTAACATTTTCGACTACAAATCTGCTAGAACTTCACATAAATTGCTCAAACTGACAAAGCAATTTGTGCGAATGTTCTTAAATCAATAAAACATGACAAAAAATTTGTTTAACATGATTTCAAAGAAACAGTAAATTAATGATGCAATTAAGTGCAAAAGTAGCTACTTTTTAACATTTTCGACTACAAATCTGCCAGAACTT